GTAATGTTTGCTATATAAAGAGTGCAGTTGTGAATTCTTCTGCTTCCGGTCGATACAGCGCTAAATACTGAACTAGTTTCTTCTTAACAGCAAATGATCGATCTTATACTTTCATATGAATCCGTCTGTTCGTTTCTGACTCATTTTTAATAAACAACCTTTGTATTCGTACAAGAAAGAAAAGCAATGCTGTGCATATATTTGATAGAAGATGTACATTACCGAACATCTATCGTCGTTTGTTATCTGAGCGATGATGATTCGAGCGAATATTCTAAAAATAAGATGACGAAACTAAGTTTCACAATTATCTACATCTAATGAAGAAAATATCATGGAGAGAAAATTGGCAGATGTTTCTGGCCTTAATGGATGCATTGTTGCGCAATTTCATGGTGTTGATCAGAGCACATGTGTTGTATTAATTTCTAGGAAGCTCAAAATATTTTAGACACCAAACAATTTTCGGAAATCTATTTTAGTTCCTTAGTAGACATAGGAATCATGATAGATAGACAGGACAAACAAGCTCCCTTTGGGCACTATATTACTCTTCGGAAATCGAAATGCATTCTCAAAAAGGGAAATCATAATCTTATTTAAACCACAAGGTATTTTCAAGTGAAAACATCAGGAAACCCACAATAATCACGCCTCTTTCATTGGGAGTGTCACCGGGCACAAACATGGCGTGTTTCTCTTAATTAGCTTCCTAGAATAGTGTCCAGTGCTTTTCAAGGTTGTGCCCCTTAGCTTTTGGAAGAAACAACATTGAGGATAACGGTGTCAGCATCTTGTCCTATGGTACGAAATAATGTGCCTATTAAGACGAAATGTTGATAGAGCTTTGTTGTCAAACTTATAGTCAGTTATTTCCCATCAAACTAAGATTTTCACTGCGAAGAAAGTATTTTTTTGCAAGTTCACGAGAAAGTTTTGATTTCCGCAGAGCGTTGAGCTATCTAAGGATCGAGAATATACCATCATGTCTCATACAACCTTTATAGTTAGTAAAAATCTTCTGTACATAGATGTCTCAAAGAATAAACCCCCTAGAAACTGCTAGAACGGATGACATCATGGTCAAGCATGGACAAGAAAAATTTGCGAAGAATGGAAACTGTACCATACTTTGAATCCAAGTATAGCATACTTTTAAGGGACTAGAATGTGCACCAAATAGTATGATGCAGGTGGAACATTTCTTATTTGGGATCATAAGAGAAATACAATTTAAGAGATAGAGGAAAGGTAGTGTAATACCCATTAATAATATCAGAATAATAAAACATCGCTGTTTAACTCTCGTTATCCTCATAGAAACCACCATTTTGTATGCACGAAACAGACTTATAGAAAGAGCACGGCTCTGTTTCAAATTGTAATGAATTACGCCTGGATTTTTCCTTCTTATTCCGCAAGTCAAACCAAGAAGAAGAGAAAGAATATCGTTTAGTTCAAATCTTGCAGCCGTTGTTTTCACTGATATCTCAGATGTGCTTATCGAAAAAGTGACGTACTTCACCAGAATTCACTGGCAATTATACATAGACACAATGACAAAGATTTGTGAACCTATCTGAATATAGTTTTTGATCAAAGCGTATTGATGCTACACGGAGAGAGATGGTTCTCATATTTCTAAAAGACAGAATAATAACGAATGCTTGAAGTAAATCAAAGCACTTCCGGCGTACATTATTAGAGTTTGACCAGCGCAATAACAACGGTAAACTTTTTTCTTTTCTAAAAATAGTCAATGCATGTTCTTTTTAGTGGATCAAGAAGCCTATTGCTATCCAATGAAAGTCTTTTTCCCAAGGTAAATGATGGAGAAGTTAGACGCAAGCAACACTTCGGAAGAAATTCAAACAAACAAAGTGTTTTTACCAAGTAAAATCATGAGCATTGAACGAAGACGCAATTGCTATTGACGGGAAATATTTCTGGACATTTCGTTGTTCATTTTCTTTCTCTAGTGTGTCAATACAATATTACCTTTGGAGAAAATGATTCTTTTTTTCTTGCATTCATAGAGTACTGTCAAATCCCATGGAAATTTATCCATCAACAATGCTAATCAAAACACTTCGCCAAACAAACACTTCAATGGTCGTAGAGCGCATCGCCAACGAAGACTTCGATCCATCGACTTATTTCACTTCACTCGTTGATAATGTTTGCTAATATCAGCAAAGAGAGAGAAGTGAACGATGTAAACGGGCATTAAGAACTTCATTCCAGGATACTTATGTTATGTTTGACTAAGTTTCATTTCGGAAAATAAATTGACGCCTTTTATCAGACATTCTTATGTTCAACTTCACTTTTTCATTATTCGAGAAGAAAATAAAAATGAACAAAGTGAAACTAAATCAATTGAGTAAACAACTAAATAAAAAGAAGAAGAGAAGAGAGAAAATGAGAGAAATAAATAGGAGTGAAACGAGCGAGAAGTTTCACTTCATTTCTTTGAAGTAGAATGCTATTTTTACGATACACAATTGGTCAACCTTCTTCTTCTCATTCTTATTGCTTCCATTCAGTAAAGAATAATCTCCAGGAATTAACGATGCCGGCGTTTGCCAATATAAATATGAGCTTGATGATTGTCTTCTCAATCATTCGGTTGAGTCAATCATCGGGTATTCATTTACTTTCTTTTTTTTCTATTCATCAGTGTAGTGACTGAAAGAATCATATTGCACAGAAATATTATGCTCGTCGCTAGTAGAATTTGAAGTGTAACCTGAATTTCTTCGAGCTAACGAACAAGCTGTGTATATTTTCGCTTCAAGGCGGTATCAAGCTCTATTTTTTCTCTAAGGATTTCACTAGGGCCGAGCGTTGTTTACTTCATTTTTCGAGAGATATTTCTTATGAATGCTCAAAACGATTGTTGGTCACATTTCTTCGAGCTTAAAAAAATAATCAATGCTACCCAACTGAATGTCTTTTACACAAATCAATCCATTCAATGTGGAGATCATACGATGGTCATTGAAGTGTGTTCGTAAGGTTTATACAAGCCTAAAATAATTTTACTTATGAGCTTTTCTAGTCGATTTCTGTCTATTTTACTTGAATTCTGTTTGTTCTTCCAGTTCTCACTATACCGCCAAGAAATAGAATTGTGAGTTAAATGATGCTCGCACGTACATCTAATGAATAGGGAGACACTCGGAAAGTTCATTCAGAATTGATATTTGTATGTTCCAGCGTAGTTGTAGAAAAATCTATACACTGTTGACAGGACTGCGGTCAAGAAGTTAGTCAAGTTTTCTATATCAAGTATCGATGTGACATGCTCAGTAAATTTAAGACATCATTCGCATCGACCATCGATAACTTTGATGCACCAGCACTAAACATACGAAATACCCATCTAACACTATCGAATAATTGATACTTCACTAACCTTGCTTCCTCGTCTTCACTCTCAGCGTAGAAAGATATAGTTTATCTATTCCGTCAGTACCTGAACTATTTCAATAATTTAAAGTTGGTATGTGCGCGTTTTATTCTAACTTTACTGATAATGAATCGAAGTTTCTTTCTTATATTTCAGTTGTTTCATACGATCGATCCAAGTTCAGTTGCAATACATTATGGAGTCCAAATGCTACGACCTTCGTAAATAGTACCATCGGTGAGATGACACCTCTTGGTGTATTTGTTAATACAAACAATATTGTTTAAGTGGATGCTACGTTGAACCAACAAGTCTTGGTGCGGATCCAAGGAAACCCGTCTTCAATATAAGATTCTATCTGATGGTTTGAATTATTCTGACAGTCTTCTTGTTACAGTCAATGGTGAGATCTATATCGACAATGGATACTCGAATGGTTGAATGGAGGGTGTGGGTGTGGGTGGGTGCGCGTGTAGATGTATGAGTCTTCTCTTCATTCACAACCACACCCACACCCACACCCACACCCACCCTTTTGATGATTTCGGTCAAATGAATGAGTTTAGACGCGTCTAGTCTGCGTTTCAGAATTACATGGTTACTCTTAAGAATTATGTAAATAATTACATTATTAGTGAGAACATTTCATCTGTTGGTGCTCAAGCATTAATTGAAAATTATATATTTATTCAGTATATTATTTATTTTCTTCATTTTGATGATTGTAATCAGTGTTTTTAATTTCATTTCTAGTCTTTCGAAAATTTTTGATTGTCTGGAGCGCAACTGAATGAATTATTGTGCGAACTGCTATTGATCTTTCTTGTCTTTAGTAACACATAGAAATTGATCTCGTGCACATTGGGCGAAGAAATGAACATGAGAGTCAATATGTGTTAGTATCTTACTTGTGTTTGCACACGAGAAAGATGACAAATATGGATATTACTTCTGCTAGTACATCATTATATCCCTTGCATTCATATGTATAATAAAGTTTTTTTAAATCGTCTTTCTAAAATCTAAATTTCACTCATCATGCTCGCATTTAGCCGATGTATAGAAAACCGCTGTTTGACCTGGCACGCTAGCCATTTGAAACTCTTTGTCTTCATGACGTTGCGAAACAAGAGGCTGGTGAAATAGATGATACCGTGCGAGCACATTAATAGCCATGAGTGATAACATGGGTGGTAACATCATAAAAGATACAGTCAATGATTGGAATCGCAAGTTTAATGCCATTTGCGTCACAATTGTAACAGGACGAATAAATGGCAGCCAGAGACAATGATAGCTTTGGCTCAAATGGAAGAGAATCGCATTTATATGGAACAGGAAAATGACATAGAAACTAAGGTAATATAATGATGCTGCTGGAGATATGACTGCATATTTCATATCTTGATTAAACGACGATTGTAGGAACTGAGACAACCAGGTGGTGATGTTTTTGAGACTGAAAATGAGCCACACTGCCAGCGCAATGATTCCAGTGACAAGAAATGAGCCGAAGATACAAATACCAATCATGAGGACATAAGCATCATGAGCAGAATTAAAGAGCGTGAGCTGCCATCGCCACTCATCAGTAGGACGGTACACATTGGCAAAGATGACCAATAGTGCGATCATCATCATCAACCACCATATACCGATGATCATCAAAGCAACTATAAAAAAAATTCGGTGCACACGTTGAGTGGGAGTTGGTATAGATCTGTACTCCGTGATGTTTCCCATCCAACGACGATCCAATAATAATCGTCTCCATCCGTCTGTCCACGTATATAGAACAGACGTTGGTAGCAACGCGTGCAGATCAAGAAAAGTTGATCGATGAAAAACGATGCAGATTGCAAGAATACCAAAAACGGCAATGAAAAAACTAAAGATGAGATTTCTTATCATGATATGTGTGATTCGATGCGCTTTGGATATTTCGATAATTCCAGAGAGTGCGTCAATGTTAGCATTGAGTACGGTAATATTACCATTTGATCCAATGTCGTCGGCAAGTAGTGAATCATAGTGTGACTTTAATGACGATTGATTCCATTGATTTAGCAGAGCTTTTACTAACGACTGCTTCTGTTTGTACAAATCAAAATACAAATGATGCCATTTCGATGCAGGTACAAGAGCGGAAATGAGCGGTGAAATGAAAGATCCTTCACTTTGACGTGGTACTGGTACGCCCAAGAGAGCAGCAATAGTTGTAGCTATATCAACCGTGTCAAATGTGGAATAAATGGGTAATGAATTCTGTACAGAAGCCAGTTGAGAGTCCTTCGCATATACAATGAGAGGAACGGTTTTTAATGTATGTGCATCACCGCCATGACCACCAACGTTGACATGCCCGTGATCACTTGTTATAATAAATACAGTGCGAGTCTGTGTCACCGCATCAATTGCAGTGATTGCATTGATACCTGCGCGAACGAACGCCACTTTATCATCGATGGCTGATTGTGTCTGCGATGATTGAGCTCCAAATGAATGAGATACACCATCAATATCACCATAGTAAGATAAGAACAAATCATAGTCGAATTGAATAATGTCATACGATCCATTCGATCGACGTACTACTGTTTGACTGTTAATTGCAGCATGGAATCGTTGATTATAAGCGATGTCTTTATTACGATCACTGTGACCATGAGTATAGGATGCATCACCAAAATTGTTCGTTAATGTAGGACTGGTACCATCTCCGTAGAATGGAGTCAGATGACCATTCAGTAGAATGGACCACCATGCATCACCACTAATTCCATTCTTCATTCCGACGTTCATTGATGAGGTAAAGATAGAATCGAATGTATACGGTGTTAAATTATCATTGCCTATACGTCCATGTAACGACGGTCGAGCACCAGTGATGAGACTCTGCCAATTCGGAACGGATAAAGTTGGAAATTGAGTGGACATTTTCAATAACAGTGAATCAGACATGAACCATGTCGATGTTAACAATGAATTCAAGGATGGATTCGTCTGAATGGCATCAAACCGAAGGCCATCCAGGATGAAATAGACTACTCGTGTGCGAATTTTGTCATTCATGTTAAGACTCTGTGCGCCAAAATATGCTTGGATTGTATTTTTATCGTTCAATGCATTGAGGAAGTCACTATTAAGATTAGGATCGAATCCGGAAGTGATCAAGTGTCGCTCTGATATGGCATACACGAGTAACAGAAAGAAGAGCAGAAATGTAACGTACAATGTGTGATGACTTTTTTCATAACGATGCAAGATCATGGATTCAACTCTACATGATCGACATTGTGATACACGATATGACGAACCTGATCTTGGGTAAATACCTCCAGTGCTCATTAGGGCGATCAACCCTATTGCTTGTCCATCATAATGTATGCCACTGATAGTGTTATTCTTCCGTTCAGCGTCTTTGACCATGAATGAGCCAGTACGAGTATTTGGCGTCTAATATTCTGCCTTGTGATTCTATGAGTCTTTTTATTACTGATGTATATGGAGTCGAAGAAAACAGTACACTAAATAAAACAACAATCAAAGCAAATGTATAGAAAACGAGTTCGACTATGTATGACTCAGTTTTGACATGATTTGTTAATTATTCAATTCATTACTCTGCACAGACCGAAGCTGAGTAAATAACGTACTGATCTAGAATTTTGTCGAATCCAAGAAAAGCCACCACAGTTCATGATCATCCAAAGGCACCCGAAAATCTTATCGCACGGCTATATCCATTGTCAAGCAGATGTGTAACCGTTTTGAAACTTAGCACTTTGTAGTAGAGGTGGCCATGAGATAAGATTTTCTGGTTTTTTGGGCGATAGTGAATTGTGGTGACTCTTCGTGCGATGATGATTGTACATTGGGATCATGGTGGATCATCGCTAGTAAACGAATAGAAAGTGTCAATGTTACGGAATGAGAGCCTAAGCTACTGTCATTTCTCTCATATGAAAATCGTATTTTTGCGTATTGATAAGACAAAAAATTTCATCAATAACTAAAATACTTCTTGTTGTTTCTTTTTTTTACTGTTTCCTTCCAAATTGTTATTCTGTGCTACTTTTGTTTTTGCATAAAACGTGACCAAATTAAATTGCTCTGTGGTTTCAGTCATATTGATACCTATTCCAAAAGATGATGCGTCTAGATATCTGACAGCCACAGATTGTTTTCTCTATCATTTGTTTCAAAATTTCTCATTATGCGATATAGTACAATGTATGTCAATTACGGTGGTAATCATGAGAATACGAAATCTACCGTTTCTTCCTTGTTCTTAGCAGTCAAAGGATCGAAGTTTGATTTTTTTTATAAGCAGGGACCCGAGCAAATATTGAAAGACAATCATTTGTAGCTAAAATAACGACAGCGTCCACTTTAGGGGATATGCAACAAAAATAAACGACAATGTATAATTTCTTAAAATGGAATAAACATCGAAAATGATCTAAAGCGAACGAATGTCAAGCATCTTTCCCATTCCGTGGTTAAAACTTGCGTGCTCGTGTAGCTAGAAAATCTCTGACGCTTGTAAAGACGCAGAATCGAACGCTACTGCCCTCTGCTCAAAGTTAGTATGTGGTTATGTACGATTGTGGCTCCTCAACTTCAAAAACTTTTTCGTATTCTATAAGAATTCGAGCATTTGATCTAACAGTACTTACCGATAGGCTGTCGAGAAGCTTCTGATAATGCTGTTTCAAGTTTGTTGCCCTATCAACTTTGTTAATGCAAGAGCATGTGGAGTCGATGTATTTTTGTTACAGGTAACTTGTTTTCAGCAAGTTAAGATAAGATAAGCTAAGCTATATTCACCTTTCACTTGCAGTTGCAGAATTCTTCAAGTACTATCGTCCAATTAAAGCACTTACGACCTTCGCTTTTTAATAATTGTCATTATCTCTTGCTTTCAATGAAAAAACTCAAGTTACAAAATCAGTAACACATGATTTAGCTTTAATCTAAAAATACGCACTGCATTTAATAGAAGAAAACTGCTTTGTAAAAATCACTATAGTATCCAACATTCAGAAGAAAATATCTCGAAAACAATCATTTCGAAAAGGATATTAATAAAAATAGGCTCCAACCCACTTCCATCCACTCTGACCGTCGGTAGTGTTGAAGATAGTATCAATGGATGGAGCTTAAAATTTACACTCATGATATTTCACTGCTATCTATTTTCTGTGCAGTAATCTCAAAAAAAAACAGGCAAACAAAATTTTTATAATCTACTCCTGCTCACTCATTTCAAGTTATGTTTGTTTCCGTTACTCTTACAAGAGAACATGCCGAGGTGTTCGAGCCGCTTAGGCTGCACCAGTTTGCCATAAGACGACCCCAATGCGGTATGAAAAACTAAAAGAAGATGCATGCTCTCGTGTCATTATTCCCGAAATATCAAATGTTTAAGAAAACTTTCTCACAAGATTCACAATTTATAGCAAAATCATACTACCGATTTTTGACGCCCATACCTACCTCTCAAGTAAAGTAGAGATGCAACCATTTGATTACACAAATTGTGTGTTGGCTTTTCTTTTATGTTTTAGTTTGATTAAGTATTTTAAGCAGCTAAAAAGCAATAAATGCGTGTATTTTGAGAAATGAGAAAAAAATAATGCACGTTTTTGAAGGAAAAACAATATCGAACATAATAAGAGTTTTTATTATATATCATAAAACAATATTTTACTC